GTATAAACATGTACTCATGATTTTCATCGCACAAATACATATGTATGTATGTAGATAAGAACTTGCAAAGCCTCTAGTTAAATATACAAGCTAAGATAACTTTTCATTTCCACTATTATTATTAAGGCGAAAATCACTTACAGTAGGGAGCATTTTCTTCCGTAAGAAATTCAGGCTCGTATAGAAAAAAGTGCAAAAAGCAGTCAGCAAAAAGAAACATATTAAAAATCAACGCGATTTTGCAGCCGCTTAAAACTTGCACTTTGTTGTACTAAAATGTAATGGGGTAGAAAACTGCATACTAAAAAAATTATATTATCAGATTAAAAAGCTCAAAATTTTAATGAACATCTTTTACATTTTTCTAAGCTCTTTATAATTTTTTAAATATGATTTATATGGCTTTCATATTTTTATGAAAACAACTTTAAAAACTCATTTTCGTTGTTGGTGTTTCCGACAGGGTAGGAGTGTGATGTAATGTGGAACGATTTGCCGTCATCCCTTGTCAAATTTGGTTTAGAGACAAACCGGTTTCGGCGTTGTGCCATCTTCACGAAAGAACGAAAAATGACACTGAAGATGGCACAGCGCCGAAACCGGTTTGTCTCCAAACCAAATTTGACAAGGGATGACGGAAAATCGTTCCACATTACATCAAACTTTAAAAACCTTGCAAATATTTAGCAAAAATCACCATGTACTCATTTTTTCTCCCCACTGTACATATGTAAGTATGCTCGCAAGTAGAATGATATTTAGAAGTATCACCAGTTGTGTGCAAGAACGATAGAATACAAGATTGCGCATTCCCGCAGAATGACATTTAATTAAGCACAACGTTAACAAAAAATATACATCCACTCTTGAAATGTGTTCAAAAGAATAGGTCTTATTAACCGACTTCCAAAAATGGAGGAGGTTATCAGTTCGTCGGAATATTTTTTTTTTTTTTTATGTATGTTACCGCATAACTTTGGACCACGTCAACCGATTTCGATAATTATTTTGCATCGGAAAGGTAGTGTCTCAGAGGTGGTCCCATACTAATCTGGTTAAGATCCGATCAGTGGATCATGAGATATATATATATATATTTTTTTTATATGAGAGTTGAAGTCGGTTTTTTTTTGCTAAAAATTACTTGTTAATTAACTGTTTAGAATTTTTGTGTTTGTATTGCAGGTGCCGAAAAAGTGATAATATCTTGTCGCAGCGCATGTTTTTCTGCAGAAAGTGGTCGATGCTTGATTACCTCCGATTTTAATTTGTAATTTGTGGTATTTCAACGTTTTCAACTTAACATATCGTGTTTAAAAGTGGTCCGTAAAGTGCTTCATGCATATTACGCTGGTGTCTAAATTGTATGGCTTCTCCTACCGGCAGAACTCTACCCACTTTCTGGCTAAGGCATCGTCGCGGGGAAACAATAAAAAACTGCATTTGGGGGCTTTACCCCTACGGCTGCTGAAATTTAACACACGACACGACATTTTTATAAGGTTTTTATTCCAAATAAAACGTTTTTTACTTCAGAACGCACGAATTACTTCGATTTTTCACTTGAAAGTACACAATACGTTTGCAATACGTTTGCACTTGTTTGTAAACAAAAAGTTTGTTTATGTATTGCCATAAACGTCAAAGTCGGCAAAACCAAAGTAGCGGTTTCGGGAATGCGCCACCTTCAGTTCATTACACCATGAGTTCTGTGTTATGTACAAGGTCTGATCAGCTTTCTTTAGGCAAATAAAATAAAAGACTAAAGTCTTCAAATATTGAGAAAAAGAAGTATAACCAATATGTAGTTTGTATTGCAGATATTTATTCAGTAGTATAGGTAGGTATTAATACACTTTGTTTATAACATCCTTAAAAAAGTATTCAAAAGTAAAACAAAAGTTAATCAAAAGTTAAAAAGGTATATAAGAAAGATGTTAATCTTAGTAATCCTCTGAAATCTCATCTTCACAAAGTGGCAAATTATTAATTGCGTCGTTTAAAAATGTCGAGTTTAGCTTCACTAATAGTTTATCTTCTAATGTCTCGTGCTTCATTCGGTTGCGATTGTCAGTTAAAATGAGCTTTAAGGATGAAAAGGCTCGTTCTATGGCAACCTGTGAAAAAAAATCAATACAAACATAAGCATTGAGATGAAAATTCGCATGAATAAGATCAGCTACTGCCCACCTGAGTTGGAGGAATGCCGAAACAAACATTGCTTAAAGCATAGCATTCAGGTTCGGAATGCTTCCTCTTTCCAAAATTGCAGTACGTCGGTGTCGCTTTGCAGAAATGGAAGGTGCAGATTTCCTATTTTTGAGTGCACGTCAGTAGGTTTGTTCGTCGAAAATCCAGCAAGAATTATCCAACACTCAAAATATCAGAGAGTAAGAAAAAATTCTCTCAAATTCTCTCTCATGTTGAGAAACTTGAAAATTTCTGCACGAACGCAAATTTGCAGGAATTTGCAAGTTTCGCTGCCAGCTGGCGTCCACGGTTGCATTTAAAACATAAAAAATTTGTATAGAATTTTTAAAATTCTTTCGGATGGCCAAAAACAGGATATACATGTATATTTCTTGTTGTTCTGACTTTCTTTAACATACATTTCAATTTCTTCATCGTACTAGCTGTCGGGTTTCTTAAATCGACTCTGGTTGCAATTGCATTTCGATTGCGAATACCATTTTTTTCAGCCGAATTAAGTTCAAATCATTGGAATTAACTAAATTAATTCTATCAACAATTATTTACTTCCTTTTTTCATAAAAAAATCGCTCGTGTTTATAAATTTTTAAATTTAACGAACTAATTTGATCAAATTATTGTAGACAAAAATGCAACCATGCGCCACAACCACATGTTTTTCGTGTTTGCAAATTCTTGCTGGAAAAAATTTTTCTCTCCAAGAGAGCTGTCACTTTGCTCTCACAATTTTTGAGTGTTGGATAATTTTTTGGTCTGCACGAACGCGATTTGGGCAAAAATCGTGATAATTCGTACAAATTCGTACAAATTTTTTGCTCGACGAACAAACCTAGTATAAACGATCACACCGGAGGCCGTTTGAAGTTTTTCAATCAAAAATGAATTTAGCATTTCTTCTGCTTCATCTTTAAAGATACTGTTATTTGCCACAAAATTGTTATCCCCAGTAATATCTTCTGAAGCCGCAGTATGTGTTTTTTCTGAACTCAAGGTATGATGGAACCTTGGATCCAGGAATAGGCACGCGTTAAGACTTTCGTTTTCTAGTAGTTTGGATGTTCGTTTCTCAATGCTTTCCAGAACTTTGTTTCCAATTTTTTTAAGTATGTCTTTGGCTGAATTTTGTACTATTTTGCCGGTAACCATTTTGCATTTTAGCCATAGAGCATAAAAATTTCCGAAATGCAAATGCTCTGCTTGGAATTTTATTATTGCGTCTTGTAAAGGAGCGAACACGGCGTCATAACATTCCATAAAATCCCAAAGAAAATCGTTGCTGTCAAAGTTTTCGTCGATGGTTATATTTGCGATAGATTCAACAGCAATCAAGGGATCTTTTGCAGCCAGTAGAGTGTGAATCATTTTGTACGTTGAACCCCATCTGGTGGAACTATCGAGTTGAGGAAGTTTAACATTGCGCAATTCGAAAGTGGCAGGTTTCCGAATAAACTTTGTAAAATTTCTGCAGCTCAGTAAAAAGCATTTTATTTCCGTATCTTTCGTGACATCAAGGGCAAATAATTGAGCAGTGTGGGCTGCACATCTACAAATTTGAATGTGCTCAACACGAAGATTCGTTGGACTTTCTAGATTGTTAATGTTGTTTAAATATGTATTATTTCTGTCTTCTTCATGTACCCCGCTAATATTATAGCTCGATAAAATTTTTGTTGTTTTTAGGATATTTGCTCCGTTATCGGAAGTTATTGAAATTATCTGGTTGAGGTTTATATCGTATTTTTTCAAAGTTTTTAAAATTTCTGCAGCGAGATTATTTGAGGCACTTGCGCCGATGCCTTTTAGTTCTACCATTCCTAAAATTAGGGATCTGATTTCGTCTTCCTTAATGAATTGTACACTGATTCCAAAAATATTGCACGAGAGCCTTGATGCGCTATCAATCTTTAAAGATAGAAGCCGTTTGCACATTTCCGTTTTCATGTCCAATCTTATATTTACGGCAACTTTATTTAAAGTAGTCTGACAATTTTAAGCATTAAGAGTAAAGCGCTTGCCAAGCTTCTCCAAACCGGCGCAAATTGGATCAATTATGTTTTTCAAATTGGGAGAGTTGAGAACATTGAATGGCACACTGTCTTCGGTAACTAATCCAATATAACATCGGAATAATATTCGTTTATTTATTTGAACTTTAATATTTTGTTTTCTTGCGGAGAGTGAGGTCACTATAATGGAACTACATAGATGAATTTGTTGAGCTTCCAGCATTATTGATATCTATTTTATGTTGTTTTAGTAAATGGCTTTTTAAATTCGAAATTCGATTATTTTACATTGCAAATTTGCAAATACTGCACACTGCTTTCTTAATCTCTTCTTTGTTATAAAAATATTTCCAAATGGCGTTGGAAGTATTTTTGCGCGGAGCCATCGTTAAAGTAATTAAAAAGAACAATCCGAACACGGTCAATTATTGCAATTTACTAACCTACAACGTTCGAAAAGCAACAGCAGTAATGAAAAAATAAAACAAACAAATATAAAACTGCGCTATGCTGTGCTGTTCGTACATAACTTCGGCAGTTAAAGCGACAGCGCATAAAAAGCGAATAGGGACTGCGCTGTGGCTGAACTGTTTGAAATTTCGCAGCCAAAGTAAAAGCTCAGTTAGTCTAGACTTAACTTAATTGAACTTACCGTATGAAATCATCAATAATTACTCAACACGTCAACTTAAGCCAAAAGCGGACCTAATTTGTTTTTGTATTTTCTTTTTCAGCTGTTTACCAGTCCACCGCCTAAAATGCCACATAAAAAAAATGCATGCAAACAAAAATGATTGCGTTCATTTATTTTTAAGAAATACAAAAACGAGTCTGGCAAGCCTTATTCTCTCACCGCTCTCAATTTTCGTAAGGCCGTAACTTAAGAACCTAAAATTTACAGGTTCTTAAGTTTCTTACATTAAGTTAAGTTTTAACTAACCGCCAACACAGTTTCTCATATAACAGGTTGACCAAAATATTAAGTTGAATTAAGTTACGGAAATTAAGGCTAGAATAACTGAGCTTTAAAAGCCTGATTATGGCAACTTAACTTAACTTAACGGAACGTAGAACTTAGAGAATCAAAATGAAACAGATTTCGGCGTGGCATTAAGTTATGTTAAGTTTCGGCTGTTCAATTATAAGCAACACCCATTTAACAGAATTTTTAAGAGAGAGCCGTAAGTTACGTTAAGTTGCCATAATCAGACCATAACAGAGCAGCAAAGTTAAAACCACATTTCAGCTGTGCTGCGCTTTATCTTTGGATATGTGCGCAGCAAAGCAAAGTCACAAAAGTTTCAAAAGGAAATAATTGATTTCGCAGCACAGCAGCAGCAGGTTTTTTAGTGCTGTTGCTGCTATGCTGACAGTTTTTCAAACACTGATTTGCTGTTGCTTGTGCATGCCACTACAACGTTGGAAAAATGGAATTCGGCTAGACAGAGGCAGGATTCCCATAAAATAAAACAGTTCTAAATTACTTTACCATATAAATTGTAATTTGAACATACTTATGTACATATTTATGAATGTATTAAAATCTAATTGGATTGATTGAATGTTGATCTGTTGAACTAATATAAGGCATGTTTTATTCAACCATCACAAGCAAATAGCTAAATCTTGGTCAAATAAAACAAAATTAGCTTATTTCCTATGTTATGCAGTGTTTTTGCTGCATTTAAAATGCAACATTTAGCACTTTCGAACATATGTTTTCGAAGAGCGTTCATGCTATAGCATTTAGCAAATGTACATTTACGCGAGTTCGAAATCGTATGCTTTTTACAAACAGCCGTGTTCCAGTCTCTTATTTAGATGCGTATATATTACGACGATCAATTCTCACGCAGAAGATAATGTGCAAAAACCCTACTGAAAAGGAAAAAATAAATTTTAAACCAAAAATTCAATACAAAAACTTGAATTGTTTTAACCATAAACGAAGATTTGTTTGTGTATATATTTATTTGTCGGTACATTCCATGGTGGAATAATAACAAGGTGTTGTCAGTAGCGACGTGTTTGTTGTAATTTTGACAAGATCGGCATGCTTATTTTCAGTGCTTCCGATCTTAATTTTTATACTACTATACGTTGGGAAATAGTATCTAAAATACTCCATTTTAGTATTTCGTTTTATAGCGATTTTTAAAGAACTTTGTGTTTTCAGAACGATATTAATATTTAAAATTGCTGGATGTGTATTATTTTTGTCCTCCAAATATAAAATATAAAAGATATCGTGGTTATCAATGGAAAAATACGTACACAATCGTAT